AGTTTACTATTATTTCATCTATTTGAAATATAATAGTTTATTATCCACTAATACAGGGACAAGTGTCCAATGTCATTTTGATTTTAGAAAACAATTTAAGAAATACAAAGCTAATAAAAAGAACTTCCCCTTTCTGAATGATTTAGTCCTAAAGCTATTAGAAAGGATCTAGAAAGACAGGCACATACACAAAAATGGGCTACTGGAGCCTGTTCAAAGTAAGGAGTGCATTCACACAGGAGAGGGAAGCAAGCGTAGGACAATGTCGGAGCCCATATGGAAGTGAGCAGAACTTCTGAAGAGGAGAGCAACCAGGTTTGGGGTGTCAGAGCATGAGTGGGGTGATGAAGACATCCATACCACAAGGTGGCCCAATGTAGCATATAAGAGCCTTTGTGGAGTGAGAAGACATCTACATTGTAAGGTAGCCTATTATGGAGTGTCAAGCCCAAAGGGAGATAAAAGAGGGCATTCATACCATGCAGTGAGGTTCTGGAGCCAAGAAGGGTTAGAAAAGTGGCCTGACATGCAACACCAAACCCCAAATGGGCTGAAGAGAACATCCTACACAAAGGGAGTGACTGATGTAAGATGCCAGGACCCAGACCAGGAAAAAAGGTTATCTGCAAATAGGGAAGTACAGACAGAGTGAAAAGACAACAGCACAGGACAGGCTGAGAGCCTAGGTGGGGTGAAGGGGCATCTTTGTCGGGGAGGAGACGATGAGAGAAATGGAAGACTGCATACAGGTGGATTAATGAGATAAGTAAGGAAAGATAAGAGAGAAGGAACCAGGTTCTCATTCATGAAGAAAGGGCTTAAGAATAGAAAGAGAAAAAACTAGAATAAACCCTGTTCACTCTAGATTAGAACTGGAAGTGTCGATATGAATCTATGATTTCCGTATGTGTGAAGACAGAGAAATAAATACAAATGTAAATATGTTTATGTATGTATGTAAGTGTTACGTACATATACCCCCTCACTGAGAAAGCTCAGAAATAGCAACATCCCAGAGCAATGAGCACATCCAATACAAGATCTGGGGCACTGGGTGTGCTTAATATACCAGACCTGGTTTTGGGGCGGGGGGGGGGGCGTTGGGGAGGAGGTACAGAAGGAGAGGGAGAGAAAAATCAAGCAGACTCCCTGCTGAGCAGAGAGCACAATGTGGGGCTTGATCTCACAACCCTAAGACCACAACCTCAGCCAAAATCAAGAGTCAGATGCTTCACCGACCAAGCCACCCAGGCACCCCACAAGATCTGGTTTCTAACTACTACTGTCCACTACAATCACCTGATCTTGGGGAAATGGGGCACAGAATCTTCTGCCAGAACAAAAGAAATTGCTCGAATAATCACAGACATTGTCAAAAGGTAATAGTCAACTGTAGGGGACTCCCACTATCTAAATCTGAGGAAATTTGAGTGCTGACACAAATGATGGCAGTAATAGATTTATGGGGCACCTGGGTGGCTCAGTTGTTAAGCATCTGCCTTTGGCTCAGGTCATGATCCCAGGGTCCTGGGACTGTGCCCCACATTGGGTTCCCTGCTCAGCAGGAAGCCTGCATTTCCCTCTCCCACCCCTCCTGCTTGTGTTCCCTCTCTCGCTGTGTATCTCTCTGTCAAATAAAAAAATAAAATGTTCAAAAAAAAAATAGATTTAGAGCAGGTGAATAAAACAGTAAACTGTGTCCATGCTGATATTAATAATTTTGATTAACATGAAAGAAACTTTTCAGTGGAGAAGTTTGGTAGATACTATCTTAATCATTTAATGGAAGTAAACATCATCGGTAATGGGACAAAATGCAAATCATGTACCCCAAGTAGTAAGATGCAATAACGAGCACAGAACATCACTTCTATGCTATTTTCCTAAAGACGCATAACTTGAAGTTACTTGTAAAGATCAAAGAAACCGAAATTAAGGGACATTCTTTAAAATAACTGGCCTGTAATCTTCAAAAGTGCCAAGTCAAATAAAGAGTGAAGAAATATTCCAGATTAAAGGAGAGTGAAGAGAAGGGACAACTAAATTCAACCTGTAATTCAACTTTACTGGCAGAATTGGTAAAACAGGAATAGGGTTGTAGAATTAAATGTGTCAATGTTAATTTCCTAAGGATGTATTGTGGTTATGGAGGATAATGTCTTTCTTTGGAATGACATATAAAAGGCATTCTGGAGAACTGAGACAAATATTGGAACTTACTCTGAAATAATTCAGGGGAAAAAAATTGTGCTGTACTTGCAACTTTTCTTTAAGGATGAGATTGTTTCAAAATTCTTAATCAATTTCCCTTTTCCTAAAACACTTCTTTAAAATAGTGTTCCTCGGGCGCCTGGGTGGCTCAGTGGGTTAAAGCCTCTGCCTTCGGCTCAGGTCATGATCTCAGGGTCCTGGGATTGAGCCCCGCATCGGGCTCTCCGCTCAGCGGGGAGTCTGCTTCCCCCCCTCTCTCTGCCTGCCTCTCTGCCTACTTGTGATCTCTGTCAAATAAATAAATAAAATCTTTAAAAAAAATAAAATAAATTTTAAAAAAATTTAAAAAAAATAAAACAGTGTCCCTCAAAGCCTTAGGCTTCTCTAGCCAGGGCAAGGGCTGAGTTAAGCAGGGAGGGTCTTAAGTTCCTGACTATTTTAATAAGCTTGGTTGAGAAACAGCTGAATACTAACTATAAACTGTTTTTGAAGTCAAGACTGCTAGATCACATCCAGGCTCTATAACTGCATGGGGTATGACCTGAATAAGTCAGCTAATTTTTCTAAGTTTTAGTTTTTTCATTGTAAAATGAAAAAAAATTATAGTACCCACATCTTCGTCTTGACGACCATTTTAAAATGATACACATTAACAACTATTAAATATTAAACTTTTAATGAGATGATATAATACCTGGAACTTCTAATGCTCAATAAATTTAACAGATTTTTTAAATTATTATTTCTTCAATACACTGGCCTTCTGTGTAAAACTGTATTTGCTAAAAAAAAAATCTGCTATTCTAATAATACAATTAAATTAGGACACCGATTATACCAGTTTTAAGTGATGGATAGCCTTTGTTGTCATGGAAAAGAAATTTACCCTAGTCTATATAGTATAATGGTTAAAAGCATAGGCTCTGGGGTCAGAGTACTTGTGTTCAGTTGCAATTCTGCCACTCATTTTCTGTGTAACCTTGGGCAAGTTACTTAATTTATCTAAGTCTGCTTCTGAGACTATAAAATAAGAATAAAAATAGCTGTAAAGGGTGGGGGAGCGCCTGGTTGGCTCAGTGGGTTAAGCATCTGCCTTCCACTCAGGTCATGATCTCAGGGTCCTGGGATCATGCCCCACATCCGGTTCTCTGCTCAGCAGGGAGCCTGCTTCCCCCTCTCTCTCTGCCTGCCTCTCTGCCTTCTTGTGATCTGTCAAATAAATAAGTAAATTCTTAAAAAAAAAAAATAGCTGTAAAGGTTAAATGAAATGAATGGGTAACACATTTTAGTAAAGCATTTGGTATTTTAAGTCTCTAAAAAATATTAGGTGCTGTTTTTATTTCTGGTGTATACATATTTAATACATAAGGACAGGAGTTGGCATACTACAACCCATTGGGTGAACTCTGCCCACCACCTACTTTTTTAAGAGAAAGTTTAATGAGAATAGCTAAATTCAGCCAGTATGCACTGCCTATGCTGCTTTCATACAATAATGGCCTGAGTAGTTGCAACAGAGACCCGATAGCCCAGAAGGCGTAAAATGCTTATTAACTGGCTTTTGCACAAGAACTTTGCTGATCTGGGGCACCTGGACGGCTCAGTCAGTTAAACATCTGCCTTCAGCTAAAGTCATGATCCCAGGGTCCCTGAATCAAGCCCCACAACGGACTCCCTGATCAGCAGGGAGTCTGTCTCTCCCTCTCCCACTGTGTGCTCGCTCATGCCCCCTCTCTCTCTCTCAAATAAATAAATCAATCTTAAAAAGAAAGAAAGAAAAAGAAATTTGCTGATCTGTACCCTCAGTAAGAAAAACAAACTAAAGGGGTACCTGGTTGGCTTAATTATGCAACTTAGCACGTGACTCTTTTTTTTTTTTTCTTAAAGAGTTTATTTATTTATTTGACAGAGATCACAAGTAGGCAGAGAGGCAGGCAGAGAGAGAGGAAGGGAAGCAGGCTCCCCGCTGAGCAGAGAGCCCGATGCGGGGCTCGATCCCAGGACCCTGGGATCATGACCTGAGCTGAAGGCAGTGGCTTTAACCCACTGAGCCACCCAGGTGCCCCAGCACGTGACTCTTGATCTCGGGGTTGTGGTTCAAGCCCTACATTGGGTGTAGAGATTACTTTAAAATCTTTTTAAAAAGAATATAAAAAGAAAAAAAAAAGAATAAATTTTTAAAAAGAATAGAAAAATTAAAAATACAATGCTATAAAATGTCAAAATAGATTATATAAATGGCCAAATAATCAAGTTAGCTGGTTTCCATCTATCTCAATAAATTCAAAGCAGTTGAAAAACACAGTCATTTTCCTTTCCCTGAGAAAGTAAGCATTTCAAAACTCAAAATATCCTTAGAGGTCCTAGGTTAAAACATTTTTTTTCCCCAAGTGGAAATACAACTTTGAGAATTACGTGACTAGACTATACCTAATGAACTTACTATTATCACTTCAGATGTAATTAATGAGATGCATTAAGGCATTTAATTGCTTTGAGTCACAACAAGCAAAGCATATTTTTCCAAAATAAATCATATTGAAAAGTATATTTAAGAAATCTCTATGTAAAAGGACCCGTGTAAAGTACTATAAAAAATTCACAAAAGACAAGACTGAGTAAACTTAAAACACAATCTAGAGGCATAGAAAAATAATCTCAAGGCTTATAAATAAATCAGAGTTAAGTGCATTTCACTATAATTTCTATGCCTTTCAATTTTATATAAATAAAATAGATCACTTTGTCCATTTAACCTACACAAATTAAAAAATCCTAAAATGTTTTACCTGAATTGGATGTTTACTAAATGAGGCTGGGAGCCATCTGATTGCCAATAAGTCTCAAGATTGTCATCTCGTAACTGATCCACTCCAAATCCTAAAACACAAGTGACAGTAAGTTCTCATGAACAAGAAAGAGCTATATATTTCAAATAAAAAATTATCATTCATATTGTCCAGAAAACATGATAAACAGGATGGTCAATACTGTAAAATCTGAATGACTAGAATTCTTCCATCCTCTTCACAAGACCTCAACTCTTAGAATATCACTTGCACACAAAAAAGTTTGTATTAGGGCATTAACATAATGCCATGCAAAACCAGATTTTATTAAGTATATCCTTCTTGTGACAACATAAAGGCAACCTAGAAATATTTCCAAAAGTCATATACATTTTGAAACCAAGTGTTTCTGATTAATCAAAAATTAATTAAAAATTAAATCTGCCCAGAATCTCATATCATCTAGCCATTCTACAGAACTGAAAATAAAAATATCCTGTATTATTTTTCTTGATTAAAATCATAATAATACATATTAATTATAGAAATAATTTAATGGTAAGGTATGGATTTCTCAAAAATATTTAAGAGAAATAAATTTGATTTACATTTTAATTTTTCACAAAGTACTATATTCATCATGGATCAAATTCAAAAGGCAGAAAAAAGAACATTGTGGAAAGTCTCTATCCCCACCCCCACTGTCAGGTTTACCACTCCAAATATGATCAATGTTATCAGTCTTTCACAGATACTGTACAACTATACAAGCAAATACATATATATTCTTTTTTCCCCTCTACACAAATAATGGTAACACATAGTTCTACACTTTGCATTTCTTTTTCACTTAACATATCTGGAGATTCTTCCATATCACTAATAATAATAATTAATCATAATAACTGCAAATAATATATAACATTAACTATGTGCCAGACACAGTCCAAGTATTTTACATGATTATATCATGTTAATATTTATTTAACTCATTATAAAAACAGTTAACCTAAAGAGTTCCCATATTTTTTAAAGGTTATGGAGTACCTTGCTGTCTGGAAATATCGTAATTATTTAATGAAACCCCTATAAGACAAGGACATTTAGGCTGTTTCCAATGTTTTCCTGTTACAAACAACACTGCAGTAAATGTCTACATCTACAAATCTGTAATATTTAAATGGATATTAGTATTTTTGGAGTATGGATTTCTAGGAATAGAACCCTGGATCATTCAAATTTTTAATTTGATAAATATTGTCATATTCTCCTCCAAAATGCATCTTCATTAATAATGTTCAAAAACACCTATTCCTCTACATAACTAGTAAAAATTAGGGTGTTCTAAAACCTTTACACTAGGTTTTGAAGACTTAGTATAAGGACATTAAAAGTTTATTTAGTAAGTATTTATATTGATTAGATATTAAAATCATTTTGGACATGTTGAGATAAATAATGGAAGTTAATTGTAATTTTTTTAAAATTTTTATAAACATATATTTTTATCCCTGGGGTCAAGGTCTGTGAATCGCCATGTTGACACACTTCACAGCACTCACCATAGCACGTACACTCCCCAATGTCCATAACCCCACCCCCCTCTCCCAACAACCCTCCCCCCAACAACCCTTATTTTGTTTTGTGAGATTAAGAGTCACTTATGGTTTGTCTCGTCCCAATCCCATCTTGTTTCATTTATTCTTCTCCTACCCCCTTAACCCCCCCCATGTTGCATCCCCACTTCCTCATATCAGGGAGATCATATGATAGTTGTCTTTCTCCGATTGACTTATTTCACTAGGCATGATACCCTCTAGTTCCATCCACATCATCACAAATGGCAAGATTTCATTTCTTTTGATGGCTGCATAGTATTCCATTGTGTATATATACCACCTCTTCTTTATCCATTCATCTGTTGATGGAAATCAGGTTCTTTCCATAGTTTGGCTATTGTGGACATTGCTGCTATAAACATTTGGGTGCACGTGCCCCTTTGGACCACTACGTTTGTATCTTTAGGGTAAATACCCAGTAGTGCAATTGCTGGGCCATAGGGTAGTTTTATTTCCAACATTTTGAGGAACCTGTTTTCCAGAGTGGTTGCACCAGCTTGCATTCCCACCAACAGTGTAGGAGGGTTCCCCTTTCTCCACATCCTCATCACCATCTGTCATTTCCTGACTTGTTGATTTTAGCCATTCTGACTGGTGTGAGGTGATATCTCATTGTGGTTTTGATTTGTATTTCCCTGATGCCGCATGATGTGGAGCACTTTTTCATGTGTCTGTTGGCCGTCTGGATGTCTTCTTTGCAGAAATGTCTGTTCATGTCCTCTGCCCATTTCTTGATTGGATTATTTGTTCTTTGGGTGTGGAGATTGCTAAATTCTTTATCGATTTTGGACACTAGCCCTTTATCCGATATGTCGTTTGCAAATATCTTCTCCCATTCTGTCAGTTGTCTTTTGGTTTTGTTAACTGTTTCCTTTGCTGTGCAAAAGCTTTTGATCTTGATGAAATCCCAATAGTTCATTTTTGCCCTTGCTTCCCTTGCCTTTGGCGATGTTCCTAGGAAGACGTTGCTGCGGCTGAGGTCGAACAGGTTGCTGCCTGTGTTCTCCTCAAGGATTTTGATGGATTCCTTTCTCACATTGAGGTCCTTCATCCATTTTGAGTTTATTTTCGTGTGTGGTGTAAGGAAATGATCCAGTTTCATTTTTCTGCATATGGCTGTCCAATTGTCCCAACACCATTTGTTGAAGAGGCTGTCTTTTTTCCATTGGACATTCTTTCCTGCTTTGTCGAAGATTAGTTGACCACAGAGTTGAGGGTCTATTTCTGGGCTCTCTATTCTGTTCCATTGATCTATGTGTCTGTTTTTGTGCCAGTACCATGCTGTCTTGATGATGACAGCTTTGTAATAGAGCTTGAAGTCCGGAATGGTGATGCCACCAACTTTGGCTTTCTTTTTCAATATTCCTTTGGCTATTCGATGTCTTTTCTGGTTCCATATAAATTTTAGGATTATTTGTTCCATTTCTTTGAAAAAAATGGTTAGGATTTTGATAGGGATTGCATTAAATGTGTAGATTGCTTTAGGTAGCATAGACATTTTCACAATATTTGTTCTTCCAATCCAGGAGCATGGAACATTTTTCCATTTCTTTGTGTCTTCCTCAATTTCTTTCATGAGCACTTTATAGTTTTCTGAGTATAGATTCTGTGCCTCTTTGGTTAGGTTTATTCCTAGGTATCTTATACTTTTGGGTGCAACTGTAAATGGGACTGACTTCTTAATTTCTTTTTTCTTCTGTCTTATTGTTGGTGTAGAGAAATGCAAGTTATTTCTGTGCATTGATTTTATATCCTGACACTTAACTGAATTCCTGTACAAGTTCTAGCAGTTTTGGAGTGGAGTCTTTTGGGTTTTCCACATATAGTATCATATCATCTGCAAAGAGTGATAGTTTGACTTCTTCTTTGCCAATTTGGATGCCTTTAATTGCCTTTTGTTGTCTGATTGCTGAGGCTAGGATTTCTAGTACTATGTTGAATAGCAGTGGTGATAATGGACTTCCCTGCCGTGTTCCTGACCTTAGCGGAAAAGCTTTCAGTTTTTCTCCATTGAGAATGATATTTGCGGTGGGTTTCTCATACATGGCTTTGATAATATTGAGGTATGTGCCCTCTATCCCTACACTTTGAAGAGTTTTGATCAGGAAGAGATGCTGTACTTTGTCAAATGCTTTTTCTGCATCTGTTGAGAGTATCACATGGTTCTTGTTCTTTCTTTTATTAATGTGTTGTATCACATTGATTGATTTGTGGATGTTGAATCAAACTTGAAGCCCTGGAATAAATCCCACTTGGTCATGGTGTATAATCCTTTAATGTACTGTTGAATCCTACTGGCTAGTATTTTGGTGAGAATTTTCACATCTGTGTTCATCAAGGATATTGGTCTGTACTTCTCTTTTTTGATGGGATCCTTATCTGGTTTTGGGATCAAGGTGATGCTGGCCTCATAAAATGAGTTTGGAAGTTTTCCTTCCATTTCTATTTTTTTGGAACAGTTTCAGGAGAATAGGAATTAGTTCTTCTTTAAATGTTTGGTAGAATTCCCCTGGGAAGCCATCTGGCCCTGGGCTTTTGTTTGTTTGGAGACTTTTGATGACTGTTTCAATCTCCTTATTGGTTATGGGTCTGTTCAGTTTTTCTATTTCTTCCTGGTTCAGTTGTGGTAGTTTATATGTCTCTAGAAATGCACCCATTTCTTCCAGATTGTCAAATTTGTTGGCATAGAGTTGCTCATAGTATGTTCTTATAATTGTTTGTATTTCTTTGGTGTCGGTTGTGATCTCTCCTCCTTCATTTATGATTTTATTTATTTGGGTCCTTCTCTTTTGTTTTTGAGAAGTCTGGCCAGGGGTTTATCAATCTTATTAATTCTTTCAAGGAACCAGCTCCTAGTTTCGTTGATTTGTTCTATTGTTTTTTTGGTTTCTATTTCATTGATTTCTGCTCTGATCTTTAAGATTTCTCTTCTCCTGCTCAGTTTAGGCTTTCTTTGTTGTTCTTTCTCCAGCTCCTTTAGGTGTAGGGTTAGGTGGTGTATTTGAGACCTTTCTTGTTTCTTGAGAAAGGCTTGTATTGCTCTATATTTTCCTGTCAGGACTGCCTTTGCTGTGTCCCACAGATTTTGAACCGTTGTGTTTTCATTATCATTTGTTTCCATGAATTTTTTCAATTCTTCTTTAATTTCCTGGTTGACCCATTCATTCTTTAGAAGGATGCTGTTTAGTCTCCATGTATTTGGGTTCTTTCCAACTTTCCTCTTGTGATTGAGTTCTAGCTTCAGAGCATTGTGGTCTGAAAATAGTCAGGGAATGATCCCAATCTTTTGATACTGGTTGAGACCTGAATTGTGACCCAGGATGTGATCTATTCTGGAGAATGTTCCATGTGCACTAGAGAAGAATTCTGTATTCTGTTGCTTTGGGATGGAATGTTCTGAATATATCTGTGATGTCCATCTGGTCCAGTGTGTCATTTAAGGCCTTTATTTCCTTGTCGATCTTTTGCTTGG